TGTTGTTGTTTTTTTGTTGTTGTTGTTTTTTGTTTTTGTTTTGTTTGTCTAGGACATTTTTCACTTTTTGTCTTTTGTCTTTCTATTCATCTTTCTTTCTGTTTTGCTTTGCTTTTATTTTATTCAGTTTTGATTTATTTTTAGCCTCACAGTCCTCAGATCGAAGTTAGAATTCTAATATATCAAAGTAGGATTATTTATAAGCACATTTATCACCCATTAATATTCCATTATTTCGTTCTCCTTCGTTCCTTCCAAGAAAGAACAGACATACTTTTAAGTGAAATTCTGTTATCAACGAATTAACATTGCTCTCTAAACAACTTGTTTGGAATAGGAAAATTTCTGGGAAGAAATTTTTTGATTGAATTTACGTATACTTTTCGTTTCTTTAAAAATATAAAGTGTTATTAGTCTTTGGTGCTGTAGTTGACTTGGTTGCTAATAAAATGTACTTTGAATCATTACTGAAGCTAGAATTCCTTGAGTGAGGGAAAATATTTCAAATTTTATATATCCTCCTAAGGTAGGGATTCTACGCGCATGATGATCGACTTCGGCTCAATATCAATCCCTTTGAGAAAAATTTTTCTGTTCTATATATAGAGGCTTTGCACCATCACGTGATGACAGACATGACAGGAGGCACAACAATAGAGTCTTTTCCCCGTGGGAAACTGAATTCTTTCTCATGTAAATCAGATTAGACCAGATTCAATTTCTCCTGTCATGGCTGCCATCACGTGATTTGGCACAGTCTCTATACGTAGTGAACTGTTTTTTGGGATTATTTTTTATTGATTGCTTATTAAGGACCATACTTCCAGACATCGAGTGCTGAACCGTCGTATGGCAGCGCGAAGCATTTACGGCTACGCCGGAGATTTCGACCCCGACACCGCTATCCCTGGATTTACAGACTGATCAGGAAGCTCGGCCAAAGCCTAAGGGAGAGGTTAGTCGGCCCCTAGACCGTAGATGATTAACCCCTTGCTATGACCAGCATACCCGATAAATGGATTTTTTCGCTGATCTCTTAGCATCCATAATCGCTCCTCTCCATCTGGGACGCGTTTTGAGGAAAACATTGAAGCGTTATTTTCTGATTCTTCGCGACACTTTGACAGGAGGCAGTATTGATAGGACAATAAGATAAGAAAAAAACTGAAAGAACTAGCTTAGTGGACAGTCAGCTTAGTGAGGAAAATGCTTGTTTAGCGTCCAAGCATGCGCASTAGTACAGGATCATCAGGATCGAGGTCCACCTCTGAGGTCCRGGTTCCCAGACGCCCCAGCCAAGCATGTGAGCTGAGTTTGGTTAGTTCTCTTTCTGACTCCGATCGCGTGGTTCTTCCCTACCCTCCGGTTTTTTTCCCTTAACTTAAAGCAACCCAAACTATTTCAAACTGGTTAGAGCTGTGCTCCGGGGGTCATACATGGGTTGTACGCAGCTGGTAGCGGCGACTTCGCATGCCTTCAGTTCGAACCCGTTAAGATGGGCCAAATGCTGTATTCAATTGTGGTGGTGTTAGCGATAACAAGGTTCTTTACAGTTGAACAAACACATTTTCTTTTTTTCTTCGTTCTTCAGTATACTTTCTCTTGCGGTTTTCAAAGCGACGCATTGGACGCCATTTTGCGACTAAAACCTAGCTTCAGCACAGGGCCAACTGAGCCATACTATTTACGCTAAAAATACATAAACAAGCACAAGAATTATATTTACTGGACATTTTTTATATTATTTGCAATACAAACCACTAAAATTGGAGTTTAGTTTCTTATCCAATCATTGGTCGCCACAGGGCTCCCATAAATGAAGCAGGGAAAAAAGTTGTGCAGAACTGTCTGCCATCTTGTTCTTGGTCGTCGTTTATCGGTTGGAAAAATGGCCAAATAAACACAAAAATTCGCTTCAAAAGTTTGAAAAGACTTAAAAGAAACAGCACTTGGTTGTCGAGAAGCATTTCTTGAGGGGGAGAAGGCTTTGAAGTCGTCTTTTGAAAGAGTTCAAGAGTCTTTAAGCTTCGAGTTTACTGCACTTTGGTAAAAATGGTAAGTGTTGAATAAAATATTTAAAAGACTTAGCTATTTTTGAATGAAACTATGAAAACTATCTGGAATGAAAATAGTTGTTAACAGTTTCTTTACAGTAGAATATATTATATTTATAAGCTTCATTATGACTCGAAAATCGTTAGTTTAGAAAGTGCTGTGTATTTAAGCTTACTTTAATGAAATTTTAAATACAAACCTCGACCAAATACACAACTAATTGTTATTATTGCTAAATACCATGAACTTCATATTTAATGACTTTTAAGAATAAAACGAAAATAAATGATACATTAAAAAATTTAAAATATAAAAATTTCAAAAGAAAAGCTAACCTCATAATCCAATCAAATTTCAAAAAATCGTTCAGATTATCATAGAAATAATCTTTTTAAAATCATGATTAAGGTGTTATACTCTAAAAACTAGTTTACAAATAAGGCTAGCAGAATTGATTTACAATGAAAGTTTTTTTTTTACGAGGAAATGTGTTGTATGTTGAAGCAAGGTGTGTGTGTGTGATCAGAATAGTGCACTCGCCTCTTACCTTCGAGGTTCCAGTCGGATTTCATTCCTAGACCTGCCATCACTAATGTAAGTAGTATTTGTTAGGTTGCTACCTTGATGATCGTCAAGGATTATCGCGAAACCTAACGTGGTAAATTCATGGTTCTAATTCCCCTTAGTTACCGTTGCTAAGTCCCACAAGCTTAACAAATTAGCTAGAATATCTCAGAATTTAAAATTCTGATCGCGGAAAATTGATTATAAATTGTTTAAATAGTTTACTGTCCTGCAAAAAGAATAGAAATTTGCCTCATAATCCTTGTAGTACTCTTTAAAACAGATACTGTTTAGTTGCTTGTGGGACAAGATTTTAATTCCATTGGGAAAACTTTTGCAACGGTGATTGGTTCGCTAATGTTAGTTTTAGCCGTGCCCTGACTTGATTAATCAGCCCATTGGTTAAGTACCGAGAATGGAGGCAATAAGTCCCATACATATTAACAGCCCAAGCAACATAGGTTGGATGGAAGCTTAAAAAAGTATGTACACTGTGTGACTGAAATCACAAGGGATTGAATTACTATGCTCCATTTACCAATCAAGCCACACTTCAGGGGTTTTCTGCAGCTTACAGATATCCGCCAAACCAGTGCTCATTGGTACTTTCATCACTCTCAGTCGCTCTAAACGCGGGATTGGCATCACTACAAAGCCTTCCAAAATTGTTTTCGCTTCGAACAGCACCTTGTCTAGCATCAAAGCTACAGTCCTTGAAACTATAACTGTCAATGTGTAATGCCAAACGATGATGTTGCTGCCAAAAGGCCGCCGTGGTGGACGATGCTTTAAAGCCTCTGATGTTGATATATTCTACTCTTTTACAAATCCCGCGGCCGATAAAATTTAAGATGTCAAAAGCCGAGAGACTGACTCGCAAGTAATCACGGAAATCGACTCCATATTTGTTAGTACTTGACGTCACTCTCCAGTGCGTTGATTGGGTGAATAGGAACTGCATTCCAAAAGGCTTCCCAATTGGGCTCATCTTGATTGACTGGAGCCTCTTCAGTAAAGCTTATGCTGCAGAATGCTTTCTGGTGTCTGTTTTTATATGCATGGGACATGATTAGAGTCCATGCAGAACGCGGTTCAGAGGTGAGGTCACACCAGACTGGATAGGAATCACCACTGACGTCTGTGATGATGTAGATACCATTTTCTGTTGCTCCGTTTCGAAGGTGATCCACACACGATCTTGATTCCTAAAGAAGTGGCATGAGAGAGAGTTTTAAAGCATTACTTACAAATGACAAAACGAGGAATTGAAACCGATGATGACAGAGAGAGAGAGAGAAGGTCACTAAAGTACTACAGGACACGCCACATGACCCAAAAGAATGAAGACAAAATATTTCTGGCTTTATCGTCATTATGATCAATACTTTCATCATATTCATCATCATGTGGATCACCATCATGAGTGCATGCCACTTTCATCATGCATGTGCAATATGCAATCATCATCATCATCGCACTCACGAGTTAGCATCTACACCATCATAATCTCCATCTTCATATCATTCATTCATCATCATTATTATCATCAATCATGTCATCATCACCACCACCATCAGCCATCATTATGGGGATCGTCATCCATTCCATTTATCGTCCTCGTCATTATGGGCATGATAATAAGCAACATCATCATTGTCATCAGTAATCATCTTCATCATCATTACTATCATCACCACCACTATCATCATCATCATCATCATCCCTCGTTATCGTTCAGCCATTCATCTTCTCTTCATCATGAGAATCATCATAGTAACCATCATCATTATCATCATATTTTCCTGGTTGAACAGATTTAACTCACCTCAATCTCCCTGTCATAATAGTGATCAGAAATTGAATCGTTTACATATGACGAAGCAGCTTTATTTCTTCTCGTAGCGTTATTCAGTTCACAAACGCGTTTTCCAGCAGATCCTCTCGACTTGTAGTTTATGGATTTACAGTTTGCATTTGCCACACATAAGAAGTTGCAGTCTAGTGCATCTGTCACGTGATGAGTCTTTATCACGTGGCCTTTCAGGCTTTTCCCTTAAATGGATAAAAAAAACACAATAAAAACGGAATTTCAGAACGATATGTAATCTTTCCTAAAGCTTTACTTCAACTCTATACACTCCTTGGGATGCGAGACCTAAACAGGAAAATATAAAATAAATCTCCATTTCCATCGAGAAAAAGTGTTATTCTTACTTTGTAACTTTTAGGTTTTCACGCTAGAGTACGTATTGAGATTTTGCCCCGTTATCGGCTAATGTTATCATACCATTTCAAATGCTAGTTGTTTTGATGAAGGAACAAAGTGCAAACATATATTCCTTGTTCGAGGCCTTTTGCAAAAAGTCATATGAAGTGTGTAACATTTCAGCTGCAGTTAAGAAGTTAAAGTTGCATTAAGACCGGCCTTCATGACAAACTACAGCGTAATAAACACTAATCTTTCAAGTTCTAATTTTCAAAATATTTTCTCACCTTTATCCACCTTGAAGTTTCCATTTCGCTTCACATCTCCAGATCGCGCGGATAAAACATGTGCAATGTTTTTGAACGCGAAAAGGAGCAGCAATACGATGCTAGTAATATTTGAACTTCCAACCATCTTTTCATGGGACAACTGAACAACAAGTCATTCCCAGGATTCTATAAAACATGTTTGCACTTAAATGTCAATGTATTTTTAATAAATGATGCGTGGGTGTTAAATTTTTCTTCTACTTTAATGATTTCGATGATTGTATGTCCATCATTAAATCATTTGATTTTTGATTAACGAAATTTCAGCTAAAATAGTCATTACTAAAAAACAACAAAACCGCTCTTTAATTTCTGTAATTGCATACATAACTTCATTTAACTTCTATTCTTCCAAGTCCTCCGACAACCCCATTACTAGTAATTGCAAAGTTTTATTTATGCGGCTTTATTTAATTTTGCTTTGGATGTATTACTCTTATCAGATCTAAATTTACCAGATTTTAGAGGCCACACAAACAAGTTTGCGCAAAATTTAATGACAGTTAAAACCAGCTAATGATTTGGAATCAAGGCCCACAGTATATTTATCACACGGCGAAAATGTGCAGTTTTATTATCGCTTGTCAAAACGAAATATTTTTCACCAAAATCGAAGAAATACGGTGTTCAATTCTCCCTCTCCCTCTCCCTCTCCCTCTCCCAAGAGAGCCTGATACTCAGGTTAATTCAATTTTATTTCAAATCTGGAAATACTGTTCTATTATCCATTCCAAAGTTGAGGAAAAACTGGGTAGAGTTGGCAATGCAGTCCAATGTAGCAATCTTATCATCCCACCTTTTTGCATAAGGCCTATGAGTATATTGACAGCTGTAACCAAATGGCCAGTGTATGTGGTTTTTTTCTATAAGATAATCAAAGTAAACAGGTAAAATTTAATCCACTACTTAGCTTTGTGCAAATGCTCAACATCTAGTAACTTTCAGGTTGTTCACGGACGTTTTAGAGACACAGCCACCCCAATTAATAGACCATTTCACAGATCCCGCGGCTCAATCTCAGCCTCGTCAGCGTGTAATATATTCTTTAGAAATTGCCTACAACCTGCTGTGAAATTTTTAAGTGTTTCAATTGTTCGTTGATGTGTAAATTCCTTTCATTACTGCGGACTGTAGTCAAATTCTAAAGAATAATTACACGCTGACGAGGCTGAGGTTGAGTAACGGGATCCGTGAAATGGCCTATTGATGCTTTTAAAAAATCACAAGAGAAATTTAAATAAAACTTTGTGACGTCATAGCCGCCATGATAGTTGACTATGGGTGTTGGTTCCTTTTGTTATATCAACCAACGGCGGCAATGTTTTTTGGCTTTGTGCATGTGACGTCATAGCCGCCATCTAAATGTTCTATATGATACAAGCTAGAGATCGTGAATGTTAAAGTTTTCAGGCAGTTTTTAGTTGCGTATGCTGTTATGGCGACCGTCTCGCCTACAAGTGTCCTCCGAGCCACCACTCTGACGTGCTGTCTTCGTCTTTCGATCCTCTGAAGTTGTGATTGATGGAAGCATCACTCTCGCAATAAAAACCGAAATCATTCTCGCTACTAACAGACCCAACATTCGCTTTAAAGGTACATGTCGTGTAACTGGAGTCAATATGAAGGAAGAAAGTTCCATCTCTTTGCCAAAAAGGAACCTGAATTGCTGTTGCCTTGTGACCTCGAATGTTGACATATTCAACTGTCTTGCATGTTCCATCACCTATGTCTTTCAGGATATCAAAGTCTGACAGTTTTCCACGAATATAGTCGGTGTAATCAATACCATAGATGTTGAATCCTGTCGTTGCTCTCCAGTGCGTTGACTGGCTGSCGAGCAGCTTCATTCGATTCATTGATAGTCGATAGGCTTCCCAGTTTGGCGAGTTTTCATTAGCGGGTAAATTGACACTCAGAGATCGTCTGCAGGCTATGCTTGTGTGTCTGTTTTTAAGGGCCAATGATAAGATTAGAGTCCATGCAGAACGCGGTTCAGAAGTGAGGTCACACCAGACTGGATAGGAATCCCCACTGACGTCTGTGATAGTGTAGATACCATTTTCTGTTGCTCCGTTTCGAAGGTAATCCACACACGATCTTGAAGTCTGAAATTGAAAATAAACTTGAGTCTAGACGGACAGACGGACAGACGGACAGACGGACAGACGGACAGACGGACAGACGGACAGACGGATAGACGGATAGACGGGCAGACGGACAGACGGACAGACGGACAGACGGACAGAGGGACAGACGGACAGACGGACAGAGGGACAGACGGACAGACGGACAGACGGACGGATGGGTGGATGGATGGTTTAAAATAACGAAACGTCCTTACCTCTGTTTGCAGATCGTAATAGTGCTTGTATTCTGCATCATCTTGATAAGAACCAGGATCTGTCTTCCTGGTAGCGTTGTTCAGCTCACACAAATCCAAGCTACCAGCATCTTTGTAGTTGTAAGAAAAGCACGACTGATGTTTGGTACACAGAAAGCTGCATTGCATGCTGGATGTCACGTGATGTTTTTCAAACACGTGACCTTGTAATACTTTACCTGTTTGAGAAAGAATTGAGAAAGCCCGTCAGGAAGGCATGAAATCATGTTACTATTTTTAAGACTCAACAGAATCATATATAACTATCAATACCATGAAATCAAGATTATTTTGGATATTTCATTTATTATCATTTTTTATTGTATCTATATTCCCTTTTGTAAACCACCCAACACCCCACCCCAGTTATAATAAGCCCATCCCACCCCACCCCAGTTATAATAAGCCCACCGAAGAACCCTTAAGGCCGGTTTAGACGGTACGATTTTCGCCTACAACTATCGTATACAACACGCTCGCGCCATCCTACAACTCGAGTCGTAGCGTGTAAATCAAGCCTACAACTCGCCTACGACAGACGCGGGCGTGTTGTATACGATAGTTGTAGGCTAAAATCGTACCGTCTAAACCGGCCTTTGCATGGTATTCTCTACTTTCACATCCCCATAATACTTTGGTTCTTTGGGGGATAACCAGAGGGTAAAAACCCACTTATTTTGCTGAAGGCTGATCAGACAATGTTGACAATACCTTGGTTGGTATCCAAAAATAAAATGAAGAAGTGAAAAACAGAAAAAGATAGAAGCTTGAAGACGTTTAAGGTAAATTTTAAACATTTTTTCGTAAGTCAATACATTTTCTGTAAGACCAAAACTCTCGATGATCTGTACACGCAAAAATAGCTTGGAATAAACTGATAATCAGTATTGTACAGATAAAAGCAGGTATAGTATAAATTCAATTACGAAACCTTTCAATTTGGGACAGTTTTTTGATTGGTTACCCCCCAAAAACGCAAGGCATTATGGGGATGTGAAAGTAAAGAATAGAGCGTTTACGCACGTGACAAGGAAGCCATATTGGTGTACCAAAATATAGAAACTATCTGCACAGTTTTTGCTTGAAAATAGAGTAGAATTCCCCGAGATAGAACATTCATTATTATGGATTTTAAAACGCTCTATTTTTTGTCGTTACAGCTGCACGCGCTGTCCCATACATAAACAAACATTGTCTTAAATTCTCATTCGGCGAATTTAATTATCCCGTTTAGTCTAATCGATTCTACCTTTAATTTTAATTCTGCTCAATTTTGAATCGAAAAATTTAAACAAAAAAAACAAATACAAAAAAAAAAAAAAAAAAATCCAAATATAAACAAATCCTTTAAAAAACAAACTTTATAAATAATTTCCCGGACCTAGGAAGTCGTAGTTTTAGGAGGTCTATGGTTTCTACATTAGTTTGAAACAGTGCTGACGTTTCGGCGGTTCTTGTCACAGCGATCAATCAGAATAAATAATGCAGCCAATAAGGCTTATGCGGAAAAAAGAGAAAATTAATTAAAGAAGGGCACGTAAAATGATTAAAAATAACACCAAAAATATTGATTATGAAGTCTCAAAAGTACTATTAATCATTAATTATCGTTATTAATTATTAATTATCGGAGAATGCCGGCAAATAATAAAAGAATAAATTCAAACTAATACAGTGAACAGTAATGTAGTTCAGCKGTTGTATAATGAGTAAATTACGTTTATACCTATACAACGAGATGAAAACGAGAYGAACCAAATACTACAGGGAGCTAGTTTAAAGTTTTTAAAAATCCTAAAAATCGTCATAATATATTTTGTATTCCTTATTTCATGGTCGATTTGGAATTTACGAGTTGGCGTTTTTTTGCGGAGGGAAAAACCAGTGAACCGTCGCCGACTGAGAGAGAAAGAGAGAAGGCCAACTAAATCATTTCTTGAGAGGAATGTTACTTTACCTTGCTCTACTCCAAAGAGTCCTTTCTTTACATGTGTTTCACCAGCCAAAACAATTATTCGCTGAGACATCAAAATTAAGGCAGACAAGGACCAGAAGGAGATCATAATGAATCCCTAAAACATTGCCAGAAATAAAGATTCAAAATGACAAGCAATGACAAGCAATGAAAACATCACAAAAATTAATATATTCCTTGATAATGAAAACCGAATCTCGTAATAGTATACCCGTTTTTCGATTTCCTTAAACTAGTTTTGGATATGTTCGGGTTACTTTAAGACTTGAAAAAGAAGAAGAAAAGAAGAAAAATGTTCCCTTTGACCCAACCTCAGGATAGAATGGTTTCTGTGAATAGGATATTAAATTAAATATTAGGTTTTTAACTGTTTACTTACTTCCACAATGTCGCTCGTTTCCACTATATCAATAGACTGATTGCTGGACAGTATGAAGAGTTTCTATGTACACAGTTAAAGGCGTGCGTATTTCTCAGTATGAGTAATGTTATTAATATATACCCCTATACCTCCTCTTGTTATTGATTGAAGACGCAAAGAAACCGTGGGGGACTGGAAAGCGACTGGGATCTTATACTTAGGGATTGAATGGGTGCATAGCGGAATGGTTGGGAAACCTATTCTAGGTTTTTGTTCGTCTTTATCCATTGTTATATGACGTTGACGGTGCACAGAGAAAGAAACGTTGCTCCGTTTGTTCATAGGAGTTTTTAATCCTGAAAAACGTTCTGAAATACTTATTATTTGTTAATTAATCCTATATGATTAATACAAATTGTTCATTGAAAAGGAAATTGCCTTTTTTCATGCTTTCTTATTTATCATCTAGTAACTTAAATGTATCTGCGCGGAAATATTTATTCGCATGGTTTTTGGTCATCGAATGAAAGTTTTCACTTTCAAAATGTTCATACATGAAAATAATAAGCCATACTTGCTTTGGTTCGTTGTGCACGGTCAGTATCACATGATGGTACGGTTCAACATCAAACGCAAAACAATAGCTTTGTCCTATGGAGTTTCCAAACCATTCCACTCCGATAACTATGATGGGTGCTATGGCTTACCACTCGATGTGTTTAGCGTCCTCTAATGTGTCACAAGTGTTTTTATCCAGATTCTCTTGTTTTTCTTATTCTGTGACTAAAATCAACATGTGAATTGAGAGTTGTGTGCATAGAATATTTAATGTAGCGGTAGTGTGTGTGAGTGCAAGTGGGCCAAATTGGAAACAAATATACACATACTGAATTTGCATGTCAATATAAATAAAGGAGCGATTTTTATTTTATTTTATTTTCTAWTTTTTATTGCCCATGAGTAGAAAGTCAATCGAAAATTCTAGGGGAGGGAGCGAGGAAAGAAAATGAATATTCGTAAATTAGTAGAAAAATAAATAACAATAAAAAACTATTTTAAAAAAACACAAACTTAACTTAGAGAAACAATATAACCGTGTAACTTTAGTAATACTAAATAGCACAATTTCATGCAAATTCCATTGTTTTCTATTGTTTAATCAGCACTATTTCGTACTTATTAGTAATTAGTCAGTTTCACGGATTAATTGTTTGCACTCTAATCCAGAAGTTTTTAATTTATCTAGATCTATTCTTTTCGACCGAAAGTCTCCTTCCAGGCTGTTATTAAGGAATAGGTTTAATTATTTTTACTTTCTTCAAAAAACCAACATAAATATTAGAACTTAAACAAAAAAATAAAGAAATAAACAGAGCGGTTTTACAGGAGTCCACCAGGAAATCTTAAATGCTGTTGTGGATATCCTGTCAAATCGATTCAAAATATTTTTCTTTCTATATTTTCCCTGCATTTTAATATGTATATGCTTTATGTGTAATTCATAGAATATAAATAGAAAAAAGACAACAGCACGCCTCAGCTTTAATTTTTATAGCTACTAAATCTTGATTAAATTTAATAAAAATGACATAAAGTTGATCAAAACTTTGCCTCGATGTCAAAATGTCAAGATAATACAGTCAATGTCATTAACGCTGTCCACCGAAAAAAGACATTTACACATTCAGACTAAAAGAAATATCACGTGTTTCATTATATATTCTATGCTTCGTGTGCGTCAGCCTGAACTTTGAATGTAAAATTCAACTCGTGAATCGAAATTCCAGAATGCCCTGACCATCGTGAGGATTTAAGATGAAGAATGGTATTTTAGCGTTTGTTTTATGCCAGAGAACGTTCAAGGAAACATGTGATATTTCTTTTAGTCTGAATGTCTAAATGTCTAAATGTCTGAATGTCTAAATGTCTAAATGTCTGAATGTCTTTTTTCGGTGGACAACGTTAAAGTGCCTATCACCCTTGTGACAATATTCTCAGTATTGATTCTACATGGGGTAAGATGTTGAATAACCCGAAAAAATTACATAGTTTGAGTGCGGCTTCTTGAAGTTATGAAGGTTTTTCCATGCCATATGCTAATGCTGTGACGTATGAGGAGGCATTTATGGTTATTTGTTGTTCCTCGTAATTCGAAACACCRGGAAAACTAACTTGCAATCATTTCTATAAGAGCAATGGGCAAAACAATGACATATTTGAAATTTAATTTATCTGTACCAGTAGTGTTTTGTATATTAAATCATTACTCCTCATACGTACATACAGCAGATAGTAGACACGTAAAAAATGGTAAGCTAACTAGGAAAATTACTTTAGATGTTCTTACGATATACAATTAATAAGTGATAATATTTACTCCTAACGCGCTCTCCATTTCCGTTTGCCATGGTAATCACCTGGTTTTGATATATATAAATAAATTCAACATCACGGATGATCACGTGACTGATAAATGCAACATGTACATAAATCCAACATAGCGGATAAACACGTGACTGTAATCCATATTATATAAATCAAACATGGCAGATAATCACGTGACACTAATGCATATTAAAGAGATCCAATATGGCGGATAATCACGTGACACTAGTGCATATTATATAAATCCATTATTGCGGATAATCACGTGACACTAATGCATATTATATAAATCGAATATGGCGGATAATCACGTGACACTAATGCATATTATATAAATCCAACATGGCGGATTATCACGTGACACTGATGTATAAGTTAGAATACAGTCACACATATCCCCCAAACCACCATTCCGTCGTACTGTCCTCATCCATCGCTCCTCTAAATTTGGGATTAGCAGCGTTACCTATACAGTAAGAGCCAAAACCTGTCTCAGCCAACGTACAGTTTATTGCCTTGAAAGCACAACGAGTGGAACAACTATCAACATGGAGAAAAAATACATTTTTTTTCTGCCAAAATTCCGCTTGGGTGTACGATTCTTCTGTCCCTCGAATATTGATGTACTCGACGTCTTTACATGTTAAATTATCGTAGTTCATGATATCAAAAGAAGAGAAATTTCCGCGTACATAGTCAGTGTAATCAACCCCAAAAATACGGGAATTAGTTGTTGCTCTCCAGTGTGATGATTGGCTAGCAAGGCTCTGCATGCGGCTTAAAGAAAGCCTATAAGCTGCCCAGTTTGGCGGCACGTTGATTGGTGAGCTTTCCGCGAATGACCTTATACAAAACTGATTACTGTATCCGTATTTTAGTGCGAATGACAAGATTAGAGTCCATGCAGAACGCGGTTCAGAGGTGAGGTCACACCAGACTGGATAGGAATCCCCACTGTCGTCTGTGATAGTGTAGATACCATTTTCTGTTGCTCCGTTTCGAAGATAATCCACACACGATCTTGAAGTCTGTTGGAAAAGAATACAATATTAGACACCCTTTTTTCCCTTGAGTATTATTATTTTTCTTTTTTAAACGATGGACTGGGCACAATTTCTTTTCTAGTGACTTCACAGCCGGCCTCGTTACTTGTCAACGTATTTGTTGCTGAATTCTTTTTTTTTTTTTATTCAACACGGCAGCTATGTTTTTTGTCCTTCGCTAAAATATATATACAGTCAATGTCATTAACTTTGTCCACCGAAAAAAGACATTTACACATTTACACATTTAGACTAAAAGATATATCACGTGTTTCATTGTGTATTCTTTGCCTCGTGTGCGTCAGCCTGAACTTTAAATCTAAAATTCAACTCGTGAATCGAAAATCCAGAATGCCCTGACCATTTAGTGAGGATTTAAGATGGAGAATGGTATTTCAGCATTTGTTTTATGCCAGAACCTTCGTGGAAACACGTGAKATTTCTTTTAGTCTAAACATGTGTAAATGTGTAAATGTCTTTTTTTGGTGGACAACGTTAATGACATTGACTGTATATATATTTCTATAACTGAAATATCAACTCACCTCTGTTTCCACATCGTAATAATGGTCGTAATATGGATCAGCGAAATAAGACTCTGGGTTTGTCTTCCTCGAAGCATCGTTCAACTCACACAAGCCCTTACCACCAGGTCCCCCTCGTTTGAAGTTGTGCGATAAGCACTGGGAATTAGTTGTACAGAAGTAACTGCAATCCAGAGGCGAGGTCACTAAACTCTGATGAATGACGTGTCCTATCAGCACCGTACCTGAAAAAAAGAAGTCACGTGTTTTTATCTTTCTGTCACAAATCGAGCTTGCCCATCCCAGATGTCGTCATTTTTGAAAACTTCTTACGTGGCCTGTCATTGGTCGAATTTGACTAATCAGAAAAAAGATGACGTCATATTTGAAAAAAGTACACGTCCTATTATTGGTCACACTTGACCTATCAGATCTAGACTTCTTACATGGCTTGCCAAACTTTCATTTTTAAAAGCAATTTGATGAAAATTATCAAAAGAACTTACTGGAAAAATTTTTATTTTACTGCAGTTTTCCATATTCTGTGAACTAGGTAGCTGCGAGCTGCACACTGAAATTTTGTTTTTCGCTGCCGTCAATTAAAAATAATAAGTCGGTACCTTTTATGTTCTTGACTGGCGGCAGTGAAAACCAATTTCACAACAAGTCGTTGGAATGTCTGAGTTTGCAGAATATAGAAAACTGCAGTAATATATTATTTTCCTTTGTCATTTGTACAGGAGAAGTAGTCATAAGCAGAAAGATCATCAAAAAACATGTTACTTTACACAAGACGTGTAGCGTCAAGTCATCGTGATCGGTGAGTCATTTTAAGTCATTTGTTGGTAATTTGAATTTGCCTAAGAGTTTTGGGAACAGGGAAGAAATATCAGCTGTTTATGAAGTATGACTGAAACTTGTCATGACAAAAGTCTGAGTAAAACACCGAAAATATGATTAATGTACCAATAATACTTGGTTTTCTTTCTCTTTCTGTTATTAATTAATATTGAAAAAAAATCTTTTTGAACTAAATTATGGTTTCATTTTCATGTCATTATCAAAGTTGCCGGCTTGACGTGACCACTTAAAGCAGCCATTTTGGTGTAGCAAAAACAGAAACTTTCTGCACATTTTTTGCACAAAAATAGAGTTGAATTCCCCGAGGATAGAAAATGTGTCGTTTTGTACACCAACATAGCCGGTGTGACGTCGCTTGAAAACGCTCTATAAATCATACCTTCAGACAGGCTGTAAATGCCTTTTTCTCTTGATTCAAAACGCTGTATTCCTCGTACGACCAAAAGAAAAACCATCAATAGGGAAAATGTTAACTTATAGAAAAGCATGTTCGAAAATTCTGAAAAATAAAAAWAAAAAATAAAATAAATAAAATAAAATAAGATAAAAAAAGAAAAAGAAGGAATTATTGTTTTAACATCAAAGTTGTGACAGACGATCGCACGTTCTTCGATACGTACTGTATGAGGTTACTAGCGCCGGAACCCGATGTAAGATTGGTTGCAGCATCTATGATGGCAATTGTGGGTTGCAAACATTCCCAAAAGAGTCAAAAGACAAAAGCATGGCGGCCATTGTGGTGCCGTTAACAATGGATGCAGATGAGAAATCTTTTGTTAAATGGCACCAACCCTGAGAGGCCGCAATGACCTAACGTGCAATCGAAGAATTGAGACACATTGAGGCATTGAAAAACTCAAACATTTGTACTTTCGGCATTTCTTTTCAGTTGAGAATTGCCGCTGTTCTGCTGCTATGCAATCCAGACAAATACTTCAAATAGGAAAAAAAAAATTTACTTGCTTAAACATCTTTCTTTTTATCTTTTTTTTTTTATCTTTTTTTTTTCTTTTTTTTNTTTTTTCTTTTTCTTTTTCTTTTTTTTTTTTCTTTCTTTTTAATGATTTGAGATTTTCTTTGAAGACGGATTTCAGGAGTGGTTACCTATTTATTAAAAACATTCGAAAAAATTTCGGAGAGAATGATAATGATACGGTCTTTTTCCAAAAATTTCACTTGGAATTTGAGGATAACCTCTAGTGATCGTCCTGGATTTCTGACCAGAATGATTTGAACGAATTTCTCTTACCATTGACTTAATTCTCGACTCCCAGTCCTTCCGGTGTTGTAGTTTAGAAAATCCGTTGGAATTCGAAATCCCTTTACCATTGAACATTAGCTATCCTAACCTATTTTTTCTGCTTAGTGATAAGCATCCCCGATKTTCGACTTCGGTTTTTTTCCCCTGTCACTTCAAAACTGTTGCCTTGCTTCAAAAATTTTGTGAAGAAAAAAAATATTTTGTAATAAAAAGAAATTAAGCCCAAAAAGTTCAAAAATAACACCAAATGCAGCCATTTTACTTACACTTTGTGGCTTACAACTTCAAACAAAATGTTTTCTGTTCCATATTTTTGACATAGGAGCCCTTCCAGTCGAAGTTTTCTCTCGTTCTCAATCTTCAGTATAAGACAATTCAGGTAAAATGACTCGGTTCGCTTGTATACCTAACAATATCATACTGACAGGAACCGGTTGTTTAATGTTCTTGGTAATGGATGTTTATGAGAGGTATTGACGTCATAGCCAGCCAATAAGTATTGCTGTTCTCCGACAGTTGTGTAGAACTTTCGCATTGACAAGAAAACTGACTAATATATTTAACTCTGCAGTTACTATCTTTTGGATATTGTTCCTTGTTTATTTTGAATGCCAAAGGAATAAGTAAAAAACCAGGTGGTCTTGGCGTAATAGCCGATCCGCTAGTTAAAAGCTTTTGAGTGAGTTTTGTTTTTGACATTTTAATTTTCTTGATTTTTTTTCATCGATATCTGGTTTGAAATGATTCCCAGAAGACTTAAAATAAGATATTGCCTTAAGGCGGATATCAAAGAAAAGGAGAGAAAGATCGTTTGTTATATTATGCTAAGATGGCGGCTGTGACGTCACTTGACATGCGCAAATTATGACCGTTATGTTGGATGATATATTGAAGAGTTCCCCCAAGATAAAGTTGTACAGTTAATGTTTGCCACAATTTAATAAACTCATYCTTATCTAATGTTATCATCCAAGTCGTTCGTTTTATTTTTTTCGCCTAATCACGATGCGGAAGTAGATGTCAATGCAAAGTACTTACCTACACCTCCGTTTGTGTAACGGCTTGTAATGTTAAGCATACAGACTCGTCCCAAGACAAGGTATAAAAGACATTCAAGGCTCGAGCTCTTAGTAGTTGGTCATACTTCAAGAGCTTCTAAGCGCCCTCTTTCTTCGTTCACCATTCTAGGTAAGTAATTATATTCCGCTACTTGTAGATTTAGTACGAAAAAAGTTTTGGACTCCACAAATGCAAAAGGAAACCTTTTCTGTGCTATAAGGGAAAAGTTAATTAAGTTATTTTCGTAACAAAAAAGATGCTTTAAACGAAAGAATAAGTGTCAACATCTCTTTGTACTGTTTTTTTTTATTGAAGATTTTTTGATTTAGACTTCTTTCTTTTTCTAAAAGCTTCTTTGTTCTTGTAATGTAAAAAATATATTTCATGTATTGCAAAACGTGTGTGACAAAAGAACGACTGATAAAGTGAAAGATTTCGATTTGCTATTGTAAAAACGATTGTTAAAAACTGAAAATTTAAAATAATAAGATGTAAATAGAATTGAAATCCCCTTCAAAGGAAAAGAACATCAAAAATTAAACTAAAAGATCTAGATTTACAACAAAAAATATTACTTTGTCTTTTAGTTTTTAAGATTCAAACAAGTTACAATCTGCCAACACAAGTTTTAAATTAAAGACAGCTTTGTTTACATAAAACTTTTGGTTGTAAAACTTGTTTAAAAAACCGAATCTTGCAGACTTTCCTCATATTTCTATATTTCTATTTAGATTTTATATATTTTCATAATCATTCCAATTTTGGCTTGATAATGGCGTTGAAACGTCGTCTACTTTTGTATATATATCTTTAGTTTCATGCTTTGAACAATTTTAAGAAGTAATGAATGTCGTAATTTTATATAATCAAATTTCCTCATAATGTTTTCTTTAGTAAACCACTTCTCTCTCTTTTTTTTTCTTTTTCTTTTCTTTTTTTTTTTTTTTTTT